GGCTTTGTAGTATTACCTGAAATCTGGTAATGTGATCCCTCCAATTTTGTTCTTCTTTTTCAAGATTGCTGTGGCTATTTGAGGTATTTTTCAGTTCCATATGAACTTTTGAAGTATTTGTTCTAGTTCTGTGAAGTATGTCATTGGTATTTTGATAGGGATTGCATTGAATCTTTAGATTGCTTTGGGTAGTATGGACATTTAAGTAATATTAGTTCTTCCAATCCATGAACAAGGTATGTACTTCCCCTTTTTTGTCTTCCTCTATTTCTTTTTTCAATGACCTGTAGTTTTCTGTGAATAGGTCCTTTATTTCTTTGGTTAAGTTTATTCCTAGGTATTTCAATTCTTTTGCTGTGATGGTAAATGGGATTGTTTTATTAGTTTCTCTTTCTGTGAGTTCATCATTGGTGTATAAGAATGCCATAGATTTCTTGACATTAATTTTGTATCCTACTACTTTGCCAAATTCTTTTATTAAGTCTAGTAAATTTTTGATGGAGTCTTTGGGGTTTTCTACATATGGTGTCATGTCATCTGTGAATAATGACAGTTTCATTTCCTCCTTTCCAATTTGGATCCTTTTTATTTTTTCTTCCTGTCTGATTGCTGTGGCTAAGACTTTCAGTACTATGTTAAATAAGAGTGGTGAGAGTGGGCATCCTTTTCTTGTTCCTGTTCTTAAAGGAAATGCTTTTAGTTTTTGCCCATTGAGTATGATGTTTGCTGTAGGTCTTTCATATATGGCCTTCATTATGTTTATATATGATCCCAATGAAGGGTTTTTTTTAAGAAAAAGATAAAATATATGAACAAACAAAATGGCAATGAATACATATCTATTGACAATTGAATCTACGAACAAAATCAACAGGCAGAACGGAAACATTCTCACAGATACAGAGAACATTTTGTTGGTTGCCAGATTGGACGGGGGTTGGGGAATGGGTGAAACAGGTGAAGGGATTAAGAAGTACAAATTTGTTGCTAGACTGACAAACCTCAAAGGGAAAGGGTTTGCGGGGTGGTAAGAAATAAACCAAAGAACTTATATGCATAACCAATGGACACAGACAACAGTGTGGGAAATGGCAGGAGGGAGGTGGGAAGAGGGGAGGAGGAAGGGGATCAAAGGGGGGAAAAATGAGGAACATCTGTAATACATTCAACAATAAAGATTTAAAAAAAAGAAAAAAATGGATAAAAGACTTAAATGTAACTCATGAATCCATAAAAATCCTAGAAGAAAATGTAGGCAACAAAATTTCAGACATCACATGCAGCAGAATTTTCACTGATACAATGCCTAAGGCAAGAGAAACATAGGAAAAATGAACACATGGGACTACATCAAATTATAAAGCTTCTGCAGAGCAAAAGAAACAGCCATCAAAATGGAAAGGGAACTACTATATGGGTCAGCATAATTGTCAGCAGTACATCAGATAAGGAGTTAAGTTCCAAAAATATAGAGTACTCATACAAGTCAACAAAAGAAAGACAAAGAACCGCCCTGGCCGGTTTGGCTCAGTGGTTAGAGCATCGGCCTGTGGTCCGGAGAGACCCGGGTTCAGTTCCCGCTAAGGGCATGTACCTCGGTTGCAGTTTGTCCCCGGCCCTGGTTGGTTGTGCGGGTGGCGACCACTCGATGTGTCCCTTTCACATCGATGTTTCTCTCTCTCTTCCTCTCTCTCCCTCCCACTCTACCTAAACAAAAAATGGAAAAATGTCCTCGGTTGAGGATGATAAAAAAAAAAAGAAAGACAAAGAACCTAATTTAAAAATGGGCGGAGGACCTAAATAGACACCTCTCCAAACATGACATACAAATAAATGACTGAGAGACATATGAAAAAAATGCTCAACATCACTAATAGTCAGAGAGATGCAAATTAAAACAACTATGAGGTATCACCTCACATCTGCCAGAATGGCTGCTATCAGCAAATCATCAAACAACAAGTGCTGGCAAGGGTGTGGAGAAAAGGGGACCCTAGTATACTGCTTGTGGGAATGCAGACTGGTGCAGCCTCTATGGAAAACAATATGGTGTTACCTCAAAGAATTAAAAATTAAACTGCCATTTGACCCAGTGATCCCACTTATAGGAATATACCTTAAGAAGCCCCAAACACCAATCAGAAAGAATATATGTACCCTTATGTTCATAGCAGCACTATTTATAATCACTAAGATCTGGAAACAGCCCAAGTATCTATCAATAGATGAGTGGATAAAAAAGCTGTGGTACATATACACAATGGAATACTATGCAGCCATGAGAAAGAAAGATCTCTTATCCTTTGAGATGATATGGAGGGACCTGGAGAAACAAGCGAAACAAGCCAGGCAGAGAAAGACAAATATCACATGATCTCACTTATTTGTGGAATATAATGAACAAAACAAGCTGATGAACAAAATAGACCCAGAGACATAGAAGTAGGGTACAGACTGAAAAACCGCAGAAGAGGGTGACGGAGGTGAGGGAGGAGATAAACCACAGAACTTACATGCATGTATGCATAACCATGGTTCTGGACAACAATACTGGGGTGAGAGGCAGAATCGGGAGGAGGGTGTCAATGGGAAGAAAAGGAGAAACATCTGTAACAAAAATAAATTAATAACAAAACCAAATGAATGTATGTACAAAAAATTTAAAATAGCTGGAAGACTCGGGAAACTTTATGCTTATTTAAAAAAAAAGAAAAGAAAAACATTCAACAAGCTGACCTGTTGACCTGTACTTATTTTACTTGTAAGAATTATCAGAGGAAATTTAAATAGGTATGCTACTTATCAAGTCTTATTGCAGTTTTCTATTTTTATGTTTTGGTCTTAAAAAGCATTGGTATGAAATCTGTTTTCTAGAACTATCTCCAATTATTTAAGAAAAATAAATGATTTTCTCATACAAAAAATAAAAAATTAAATTAATAGTAAATGTTTCATAGCCATGAGAGGCTTATATTGGTTATAACTGTTCAACCAGGCTATGCATACCAAAAGATGATAGAGAGTGGCCATGAATTCTGCATGAATCCTGGAATGAGCCTGTGCAGGTTCTTCTGCTTTTTCTCTGAATATTGTTTTGGTCATGAACATTGAAGCTGATTTGATAAACTTCTTGACCATATTATAATCGAGTATAATATGTGAAGAGTATACCTTTTGACTATGTCTCTGTGGTTCAGTTTCTTTTATTTATTTATTTATTTATTTTTTAATCCTCACTTGAGAACACTTTTTGCATTCATAGAGTGAGAGGAAGAGAGGGAGAGAGGGAGGAAGAGAGAGAGAGAGAAACATCGATGTGAGAGAGACACATCGACTGGTTGTCACCTACACAACCCCAACTAGGGCGGGGGACAAACTGCAACCGAGGTACATGCCCTTAGCAGGAACTGAACCCAGGTTTCTCTGGACTGCAGGCTGACACTTTAACCACGGAGCAAAATTGGCCAGGGTTGTGGTTTGGTTTCTTCATATGCCTTTCATTGAATCCACTGTATACAGACCATAACCTCTGTTATTATACTTTCCTCACTGCCTGACAACAGCAAGTTGATAGTGAGCTTCTTGCCAGTGAGAATCACTGGGCCTAGCACAATTGTTGGCACATATGAGGCATTCAAAAATTGTTTCATTGAATTGGTTACAATATTTGAAGTAGGGACTCCAAGAAGAAGGTAAAGTATGAGAGGTACATAATAAGTTCAGGTTTAAAATATGTTTTTTAAATTAAATTTTTTCCCCTTAATTGATTTTTAGAGAGAGGGGAAGTGAGAGGGAGAGAGAGATAGAAACCTCGATGAGAGAGAACATTGATTGGCTGCCTCCTGCTTGCCTCCCACTGGGGATCGGGACCACAACCTGGCCACTGAGCCACACTGGCCGACTAAAATATGTTTTTTTATTGATTTTTTTTTTTTTTTTTAGAGAGAGAGATAAGAAGGGAGAGAGATAGAAACATTGATATCACAGATACATCAATCAGCAGCCTCCCGCACACCCCCTACTGGAGATTCAACCTGCAACCTGGGCATATGCCCCGATAGGGAATTGAACAGGGACCTCTCAGTTCACGGGACAATGCTCAATCCACTGAGCCATACCAGCTGGGCTAATAAGTTTAAGTTTAAAATGAAAGATGTCTCAGTGAAGCTGCCTAAAAGGCATGTGTATGCAGGTCTGAAGCATAGGACTGTAGTAGGGCTGGAGATGTGGCTACTTACCGGACATCAGCAAACAAAAGATAGTGGGAGTCAGAGTAATGAATGAGATCAGGTGGGAACTGTGTGTGTAGAATGAGAAGAAGAGGGGCTGCTGTTTAGTCCTGAGGAGCACCAAAATCTAATGGGCTAGATGAGGATCTACCACAGGAACCTGAAAAAAGTGTTAGTGACAGAGAAGAGACAGAGGAGAGTGAAAGCCATAGAATAAACCAAGGAAGGCTGGAATTTGACAGAAGGAAAGGTCAACATTATGAAATGCTGCAGAAAAACAAAGAAGGCAGGACTGAGAATCAGAAGTAGCTTCAATCAGAGTAAGTGCAGTGGGAAGGAGCTCAGGAGAACAGATTCCAGTCTACAGGGAGGGAGCATCCATGGACTATGGCTGTCCATTTGACGTCCTGGGTAGCCATAGATATGTGCCACTCACTTCCCCAGGAAGCACAAGGAAAGGAGAGGGGGCGGGGGGGGGGGTTGAATGTGTGTGTGTGGACAGCCAATGGCTTTGGGGGTCTGTTGAGTTTTGGGTGCCTGTGGGACATTCAAAAGGTAATGTTGTACTAGTAAGCAGCTCAAATTCATGATCTGGACTCAGAAATGAGGTCTAGGATGGGAGTCACAGATAAACCTGATACATGGAGTTTTCAAAGATTATGACCATTCCAATTTCCTTTCCTCAGCCCTGTATTTTCAGTGCCCCTCTCTTCTGAACACAGCTACCCCATCCCCAGAGTAGTGCCTCCCTTGTCCCAGGTCACAACCTACCTTCTCCAAGAAAGAGCTGATGCTGAGGCCCTTGACAAAGACGTCCCCGGAGGTGAGAGGCTCTTTCCCAGTCAGTAATTTAAAAATGGAACTTTTCCCAGCTCCATTGAGGCCAAGAAGGCCAAAGCAGTCCTCTTCCTGGACAGTGAAGGAGATCTTGTTCACAGCCAGTGGGGGTACCTTCTTGGCATAGACCTGAGATATCCAAGACAGAAGATGCCCACTGAGGAGGCCTGAGATCAGCAGTCCAAAGCCACCTGTGCTCATCACACATGGTTCTGGGACAGGTCCATATTGTCCTTGGACCCAGGAGCACTGTTCATGAGGTTTTTGTTTTTAAAAATATTTTATTTCTTGCCCTGGCCAGTTTTGTTCAGCGGTTAGAGCGTTGGCCTGAAGTCTGGAGAGACTCGGGTTCGGTTCCCGCTAAGGGCACGTACCTTGGTTGCAGTTTGTCCCTGGCCCTGGTTGGGTCGTGTGGGTGGCGACCATTCGATGTGTCCCTTTCACATTAATGTTTCTCTCTCTCTCTCCCCCTCCCTCTCTATCTGTCAGTACCGCAGGCCGACGCTCCAACCGCTGCACCAAACCGGCCAGGGCCCTCCCTCTCTATCTGAACAAAATATCAAAAAATGTCCTCGGGTGAGGATAAAAAAAATTTTATTTCTTTATTGATTTGAGAGAGAGAGAGAGAGAGAGAGAGAAACATCGATGAGAGAGAACACTGACTGGCTGTCTCCCACATGCCCCCACTGGGAACTTGGCCCACAACCCGGACATGTGCCCTGACTGGGACCAAACTAGCAACCTCCTGGTACATGGGTCGACTCTCAAGCACAGCCACACCGGCCAGGCTGGTTCATGAGGTTTTCTGTTCTCTGTCCCTGCAAACTGAAAATCTAACTCTCAAGATAAGCCTCTTTCCTTTTGTCCTTAAAACAAACCAAACCCCTTTGATGTTTCCTGAAGTTTTTTTTTTTTTTTAACAACTGATAACTATAGAGAAACAAAGTCTAAGACTAACAGACTTGGGGAAAATGTCCCCAAATTCCTGGATGTTTGAAGGTCTCTCAGTAAGATTCTGGCTGGGGCTCTCAAGGAGACTTAACCAGGCTTACTTTGAGCTTTTGGAGTCTTCCCCTCACCTTCATTCCTCTACAAACAGTCTTCAAGATTCAGGAGTGATTGATACTGTCATGTCCAACCTTTGAGGCTTCCTTGCTACTTGGGGTTCATGGCTCTGGTGCCCCTCTTATTCCAGGCCCTCCTGTCTTACAGGGGACCCCAAAAGAGATAAGAGGGCTGAGGCACTAACCTCTGTCTTTGGGTGCACAAATGAACCTCCCTCTGAGTCTGCCTCCACTCAAACCCACTTGAGTCCTTTGCCAGTACTTTCAGCCTGCACAGAGAGCCTGAAGCCCTTTGAGGCTGCTTGCTCAAGCAAAAGGCCCACAAGAGTAATGCTCTTTGCTCTTTAAGGTGCATCTGAAATTACCTTTGACACTTCTTTAAGAACCAGTGGGTTTTTCTCACACAATTTTTTCAGATTAGTCTTGATCCTTCTTGCCTCCTCTTCCACATCTTGGTCTCCAGGAACTGACACCATGCTTTGTGACACCACCTGCTTTCCAGAGACAAGGATGGAGGGTATAACTGCTTTTGCGAGGTTAAGAGGTAGAGATCGAGAGAACTACAGGCACTAGGTCTTCTCTGGAATGGCCCCGGCTGATCTTGGTTCTCACACACACACAACCACCCCTCAGGGGCCACTGCAAGTATTCAAGACTGACCACTATTGACATGACCATGATATGGTGGACACGAAAACTTAACATGGCATTGGCTTTTGAGGAAAATCATAAGACTTGAAGTTCGGGAATGTCAAAATATAACTAATCTCATTTTCTACAGCGTTTCCTTAGCCAGGGCAGGGGTTGGGGTGGCTTTGCCTCTGGAAGATATGCAGACCCGGAGCTGACAGAACAGACCTTTTTCCTATTTGGCTCCTGGGAAAATGTGTTCTAGAAAGGTGAGTGGTTTTAGGAAGCCTAGGGTCGTGTTTTTACTCAGCTAACCAGGGTCACAAGGGCTAAGCCAACCGTCTCCCTCCCACTTCTGCCAGGTTCCAGCAGGTCCCAGACATAGGCAATTACCTCACTGCCCTGAGGGTGGATTAACCAGTCTCTAGGCTCCCTCTGATGCTGAGAATCAAGACCATTACAGACCACAGGAAGAACGCTATGAAGACAGACCTGTGATGTGTCTTTAGAGAATTATACTCTGACTCACTCACCAATTTTCGCTTCCTCCAGAAGTCCGAAAAACTGGCTTTCAGTTGCCACAAGGCATTGGTTTCAATGAAGAAAAGCAGTTCGATGTACACCAGTCCTGAGATGGCAAGTGCTGTCAGATACTTCCCCATCCCTAGAGACTTCCAGGCATAGATGTTCCTTTGGAGCTGATACCCCTGTACTAAAACAGTATAAACAGATCTTATCAAACTTGGGGGTGATTTTTCCAAGCTTTTCCTCACCTTCTACATATAATAAGTAAAATTTTAGCATAACAAATATCATTTAAAAGAAGAATACTTGTCATCAATGCTATTACATCATCCCAGCAGATGGTAAACATGAGTAATATTTTGTTTTCTTTGCTGGATCAATGTTCTATAACATAATGCAGTAAGGTAAAAGACTTCTCTCTGTCCATGACAGTTATTTGAAATGAAAAAAAAAAAATGTATGTTTGGTTCTTCTATCAATCATTAATCACCCTGCAACTTTAACTGACCATGCATGTAAAAACACTCAGGAGCCTCTATTTCTCTTTTTAATCTGACCTGCTTTAATTTTTTAAAAATACATGTATTAGCCCTGGCCGGTTTGGTTCAGCGGTTAGAGCGTCGGCCTGCGGTCCAGAGAGACCCGGGTTCGGTTCCCGCTAAGGGCACGTACCTCGGTTGCAGTTTGTCCCCGGCCCTGGTTGGTTGTGCGGGTGGCAGCCACTCGATGTGTCCCTTCACGTCGATGTTTCTCTCTCTCTCTGTTCCTCTCTCTCCCTCCCACTCTACCTGAACAAAAAATGGAAAAAAATGTCCTTGGGTGAGGATAAAAAAAAAAAAATACATGTATTTAAAAATTATACAGTAAATATACATACTCACTAGAAAAAAGAGACATGTATGAGGTAGAAAGTAAAGGTACTTGTTCATTCCCCAAAACTATTGGTATAATTTTGTGTATAATCCTTTCATACTTTCTAGATAAAATCTTAAAAAATACATGTGGACTGATACTATGCATTGTCTTCACTAACTTGTGCGTTTCATGTAATAATATGAAATGAACATTGACCATATCAGGACATATAGATCAAAAAAGTAAAGATTTCTGGCAAAGGTAAATACATGGACAATTATAAAAGTCGTATCATTATAATTTTGGTTTGTAACTCCACTTCTTTTTTTCTACATAATTTAAGAAACTAATGTGTAAAAAGTTATTGGTCTATATTTCTGGATACACAATATGTAAAGATGTATTGTGACATCAATAATTGAATGGGAGTAGGGATGGGGCTGTATAGGAGCAGCTTTTGTATGTTATTGAAGTTAAGCTGCTATAAATTCAAATTAGAGTGTTATAACTTGAGGATGCTAATTATATATAATTACCATGGTAATCACAAAGAAAATAGCTATAAAATATACACAAAAGGAAATGAGAAAGACATTAAAATATTTCATATGAAGTAGCTAGAATAGTCAAATTCATAGAGATGGAATGGCAGTTGCCAGGGGCTGGATGAATGGATACAGGGTTTCAGTTTTGCAAGCAAGAAAAAAAGGTTCTAGACATGGACACAGACAATAGTGTGGGGAAGACCTGGGGTGGGGCAGCAGTTGCATGAAGGGGAGCAAAAGGGGGGAAATAGGGGACATCTGTGATACTGACAACACCACCACCAACAAAAAGAAATATTGATTGAAAAAGAAAAAGAGTTCTGGAGATGGATAGTGGTGATGATTGAACAATAATGTGAATGTTGTTAATACTATTGAACTATACACATAAAAATGGTTAGAATGGCCCTGGCCGGTTTGGCTCAGCGGTTAGAGTATCAGCCTGCAGTCCCGAGAGACCCGGGTTTGGTTCCCGCTAAGGGCATGTACCTTGGTTGCAGTTTGTCCCCGGCCCTGGTTGGTCGTGTGGGTGGCAGCCACTCGATGTGTCCCTTTCATATCGATGTTTCTCTCTCTCTCTCTCTTCCTCTCTCTCCCTCCCACTCTACCTGAACAAAAAATGTCCTCAGGTGAGGAAAAAATAAAAATGGTTAGAATGGGCTCTGGCCGGCATGGCATGGTGGTTAGAGCATTAGCCCATGCACCAAAAGGTCACGGGTTTGATTCCCAGTCAAGGACATGTACCTGGGTGGCAGGTTCGATCCTTGCCCTGGTTGGGTCACATGTGGGAGGCAACCAATCAATGTGTTTCTCTTACATCAATGTTTCTCTCTCTCTCTCTCTCCTGCCTCCTTCCCTTGCACTTTCTAAAATCAATGGAGAAAATATCCTTGGGGGAGGATTAACAACAACAAAAATGGTTAAAATGGGAAACTTTATAGTATATATATACACACATATATATATATATACATTATATATATACTATATATAAATGTGTTATATATATATATTTTTTACACAGTGCTTCTTTTTGGGGCAATAAAAATGTGCTGGAATTAGATAGTGGTAATGGTTATACAAACTTATAAATATACCACTGAATTGCATACTTTAAAGTGTGAATTTTATGTGCATTATATCTCAATAAAAATGTAATTAACAAATTATATATTTGCAATACTCACCAACTTGATTGCACTCAATCTCGTTCAGGTTCTTGACACTGCAAAACTTTTGTAGTTCAAAGTTAAAATATAAGTTGGCGAAGGCCATCGCCAGGCAGTAGCCTGGAAACAGTAGAAATGTGTTATCCAAGGACTCTGAGATGCTTGTGTAGCCTAGATCTGTGAGGGGAATAGAAAATATTAATTCTACTTGCAGAAAGAGAAGGGTACATTCCTAGTATTTCTGGAAACCCACTGTGCCTGTTTTTCCTACATAAAGGATCTATTATTTATGTCTATCACTATATCTACCACTGTACTGTCATACAGGCCCCAGACCAGAAATCTGGTTCTCCCTGACTCTGTAATAACTTTATGTGCTGCTAAGTGCTATTTTTTAAATATTCACTGACAAAAAGGAGAAACAAAGGGATTGAAGCTTTAATTTCAGACTTCATGGCAATTTATACAACCAACTATAAACAAATGGGTAGTTCCAGGGAGAGAGCCTATGGACATAGGACCTACAGATCCCAAGGGGAGAGGCTGAACCAATGATAAAAAATGAACCTACTGCCCTGGCCAGTTTGGCTCAGCGGTTAGAGAGTCAGCCTGCGGTCCTGAGAGACCCGGGTTCGGTTCCCGCTAAGGGCATGTACCTCGGTTGCAGTTTGTCCCCGGCCCTGGTTGGTCGTGCGGGTGGCAGCCACTCGATGTGTCCCTTTCACATCGATGTTTCTCTCTCACTTCCTCTCTCCCCCTCCCACTCTACCTGAACAAAATATGGGAAAATGTCCTCAGGTGAGGATAAAAAAAAAAAAAAAAAAATGAACCTACTCTTAGGACTTGGATGTAGAGCAGTACAGCTTTTGGGTACCAATCTGTGAAATTCCTGTCAGTGAAAGCCACTGTGGTATATGATGAGTCGAACTTGGATATGAGGTGTCCTAACTAGTATTTCTGGGCCAGGACTCAGAAACTGCAACAGAACCAGGGTCCACTCATGGGTCATGAAGCACAATTTGGGGCAGAACTCAGAAGTCATGGTGCTCCACATCCTCCCTGAGATCCTGGCCCCAAGGCCTGAGGGTTGTGGCTCTGGTGACCAGATATTGAGGTATATCTGAGGAGGTGGTACCTCGGTAGGATAGCCGCAAAGTTGCCAGATACAACACAGGGAAGAAGGCACAGTGGGGTATACTCTCCTAATTTTCCCTCTTTATAATTCTAAATTTGGAAATCTAGCTTGGAAGCTGAGGTAGAGGGGAAAAGGGAAAACTATCAGAATATCAGTAGTGGCAGCTCCTATGTGAGGTAGAGAGAAAGACAACCACTAAACAAGGCTTATGAACCCAGCCTAGGAATTAAGTCAGTCATGGATTTTTCCCAAATCCACTCCTGCTCAGTGACCTCTAAACCCCTAAGAGAGGAGTGGTGAAAATCTGAGAGTGGACAACCCATTCTCTCCCAGCTCCCCCTAACCTGATTCAGAGAAAGTGTTCCAAACAATATATCTAATGCAGGAAGATATTCATTGCTCCCTGCGTATTTCCCTTTCTTCTTTCTCACTGGATCCTATTCCACAGTTGCTTTAAGACTGAAGACAGGTCACAATCATCAATATCTAGCCCTCCACATGAAGGTGTCTTTTCTTTGCCACACTCCTGTGTTGGGGTTCACCCTTTTTGCATCTTGTGTCTTCCTTCTTGTTTTACTCCTACACTTTGCTGATTAGCTTTCCAAATAAGTGATGTGATGGGTAAATTTTCTGTTTATCCATCTGAAATGATCTTTATTCTACCTTTGCACTTGCTTAACAAATTAAGTATAGAACTCATCTTCTAGGAAGTATCTGGGTTTATTTATTTATGAATTTGACTATTTTTAAAAATTTTTATTATTTTTAACTCATCTTTATTGTTGAATGTATTACAGATATTCCTCCCCCCCCCCATTGACCCCTCCTCCCCAATCCCGGCCCCCTCCTGCCTTCCGCACATTATTATTGATGTCCATTGCTTATAGATATATGCATAGAAGTTCTTAGGTTTATCTCTTCCTGCCCTCCCTCCCCTCTTCCCTTTGAGGTTCATCAGTATAACAACCAATTTGTACTTCTTAATTCCTTCATCTTTTTAACCCATCCTCTCAGCCTCTACTCATCTGGCAAACAACAAAAAATTCTCAGTATCTATGAGTCTGTTTCTGTTCTGCTTGCTCATTTTGTTTGTAGATTCAATTGTTGATAGATGTGTATTAATTGCCATTTTATTGTTCATATTTTTGTTCTCCTTCAAGAAGACCCTTCAACATTTCATATAATACTGGTTTGGTGGTGATTAACTCCTTTAGCTTTTTCTTTCCTGGGAAACTCTTGATATGTCCATCGATTCTAAATGATAGCTTTTCAGGATAGAGTAATCCTGGTTGTAGGTCATTGCTTTTCATCACCTTGAATATCTCTTGCCACTTCTTTCTGGCATGCAAAGTTTCTTTTAAGAAATCAGCTAACAGTCTTATGGGCGCTCCTTTGTAGATAACGAACTGCTTTTCTCTTGCTGCTTTTAAGATTCTCTCTTTGTCTTGAACCTTTGGCATTTTGATGATGATGTGTCTTGGGTGGTCCTCTTTGGGTTCATCTTGTTTGGGACTCTCTGTGATTCCTGGACTTGTATGTCTTTTTTCTTCACCAAGTTAGGGAAGTTTTCTGTCATCATTGTTTCAAATAGGTTTTCAATTTCTTGTTCTCTCTCTTCTTCTGGCACCCCTATGATGCAAATGTTGGCATGGTTGAAGTTGTCCCAGAGGCTTCTTACACTATCCTCATTTTTTTGGATTCTTTTTTCTTTTTACTCTTCTGATTGGGTGTTTTTTGCTTCCTTATATCCCAAATTGATGGTTTGCTTCTTGGCTTTACCCACTCTACTATTAATTCCCTGTAAATTGTTATTTATTTCAGTTAGTGCATCCTTCATTTCTGACTGATCTGTTTTTATGTTGTTGATGTTCTCACTAAGTTTCTTGGAGGTCTCCTTAAGTTCTTTGAAGGTCTCACAAAGTTCCTTGAGTGTCTCACCAAGTTCCTTGAGCAACCTTATAACCTGTTTTCTGAACTCTGTATCTGATTGATTGTTTATCTCCATTTTGTTTAGTTCTTTTCCTGGAGTTTTGTTCTTTTCTTTCATTTGGGACATGTTTCTTTGTCTCCTCATTTTGGCTGCTTCCCTGTGATTGTTTCTATGTATTATGTAGAGTTGCTATGTATCTTAGGCTTCGTAGGGTGGCCTATTGTAGTAGGTGTCCTGTAGGGTCTAGTGCCACAGCCTTACTGATCACCCCAGCTGGGCCCTTGAGGTACACCCCTAGTGTGGACTGTATACCCTTCTGCTGTAATTGAATCTTGATTGCTCTTGGCACATCAATGGGAGGGATTTACTCAGACTGATCAGCTGCAAGGACTGACTGTGCCCACTGACCACTGGCCTCTAACTACCTTGGAGGATCAACTGTGTAGGGGCCCACCACACAGAGCAAGACTTATTTCATCAGGGCTCTGGTTGGGTTTAATGGTGTGAGGTGTGTGTGTGCGTGTGTGTTTATAGAGAGTAAGGGAGAGAGAGAAAGAGAGAGAAACATTGATGTGAGAGAGACACAACCCACACAACCCTGATAGAGGCTGGGGAGCAAACATGAAACCCAGGTATGTGCCCTTGACAGGGAATCAAATTCTCGATTTTTTGGTCTGAGGGCCAATGCTCCAACCACTGAGCCAAACCAGCCAGGGCTGGTGTGGGTCTTTTTTGCATTCAGTATTGTACATTGATGGATCCCTTCAATCTTGAGGTTTGTTATTCTCAATTCTGGGAAATCTTGTTTTATTTCTTTGGTAATTTTCTCAACTCCATTTCCTCTGTTTTTTCTCTTTTCTTTTTTTAGTTTATTTTTGTTACAGATGTTTCTCCTTTTCACCCTATTGACACCCTCCTCCTGATCCTGCCCCCACCCCCAGCATTGTTGTCTATGTCCATTGGTTATGCATACATTCATATAAGTTCTTTGGTTTGTCTCTTCCCTCTCCCTGTCCCCCTCTTCTGAGGTTTGTCAGTCTGTACCCTGCTACTATGTCTCTTGGTCTATTTTGTTCATCAGCTCATTTTGTTCATTATATTCCATTAATAAGTGAGATCATGTGATATTTATCTTTTTCTGATTGGCTTATTTCACTTAGCATAATACTCTCCAGGTCCCTCCATATCGTCATCTGTATAGTATTCCATTGTGTATATGTACCAAAGCTTTTTTTTAATCCACTCATCTATTGATGGACACTTGGGCTGTTTCCAGATCTTAGCAATTATAAATAGTGCTGCTATGAACATAGGGGTACATATATTCTTTCTGATTGGTGTTTCAGGTTTCTTAGGATATATTCATAGAAGCGGGAATCACTGGATCAAATGGAAGCTCAATTTTTAATATTTTGAGGAAACACTGTATTGTTTTTCATAGTGGCTGCACCAGTCTGCATTTGCACAAGCAGTGTACTAGAGTCCCTTTTTCTCCACACCCTTGCCAGCACTTTTTGTTTGATGATTTGTTGATGGTAGCCATTCTGGCAGGTGTGAGGTGATACCTCATACTCATTTTAATTTGCATCTCTCTGATGATTAGTGACCTTGAACGTTTTTTTGTATATCTCTTGGCCATTTGTATGTCCTGTTTGGAGAGGTGTCTATTTAGGTTCTCTGCCCATTTTTAAATTAAATTCTTTGTCTTTCTTTTGTTGAGTTGTATGAGTACTTTATATATTTTGGAAATTAACTCCTTATCTGATGTATTGTTGGCAATTATGCTGTCTCATATAGTGGGTTCCATTTCCATTTTGAGTCTTGTTTCTTTTGCTGTGCCAAAGCTTTTTAGTTTGATGTAGTCCCATGTATTAATTTTTTCCTTTGTTTCTTTTGCCTTAGATGTTGTGTCAGTGAAAATTCTGCTGCGTGTGATGTCTGAAATTTTGTTGCTTACATATTTTTCTAGGGTTTTTATGGATTCATGAGTTACATTTAAGTCTTTTTTCCATTTTGAATTTATTCTTGTGCATGGTGTAAGTTGGTGGTCTAGCTTCATTTTTTTTGCATGTAGCTGTCCAATGTTCCCAACACCATTTATTGAAGAGGCTG